AACCATGAAACTGTAACATCATAATCCTGGACCCCCAAAAAAGTTTCCTTGTGACCCTTTGGAATCCCTCCATCTCCCACCCTCCACTACCTTCCCCCTCAACTATCGGTCTATTTTCTGTCATTATAGATTAGTTTGTATTTTCCAGAATTTTATATAAGTAGAGTATGTACTCTTCATTATCTGGTTTCTTTCACTCAGGATAATTATTTTGAGATATATCCATGTTGTGGTGTGTATCAAGAGTTGATTCATTTAATTGCTGCGTAGTATTTGATTGTGGGGATATACCATATTGTATTTATCCATTCTCCCAGTGGTAGAAATTTGGGTTGTTTCCAGTTGGAGGCGGTTACAAATGAAGCTGCTATGAACATTTGTGTGCAAGTCCTTGTGTGGACAAATGTTTTCATTTCTTTTGGGAAAATACCTAAGAATGGAATGGCTTGATCCAATGGTAGAGGATGTTTAACTTTTAAGAAACTGACAAACTTTTTGCTGGCTTCACTGAGATATAATCAGATATACAATGCACCCATTTAAAGTGTAGAATTCAATTTTTTAGTTGATTTACCAGGTTGTGAACTCATCCTCACAATCTGATTTTAGGATATTTTTATCCTCCAGAGAAACAATGTATCCATTAACAGTCATCTCCCATTCCACACCCTACAACCCTGCTTCAGTTCTAGGAAGCCCCTAACCTACCTCTGTCTCTATAGATTTGCACAGTCTGGACAGTTCATGTAAATGGAATCATAATGTGGTCTTTGTGACTGGTTATTTTCACTTAGCATAATGTTTGCAATGTTCATCCATGTTGTAGCATGTTTCATACTTTATTCCTTTTTATGGCTAGATAATATTCCATTTGCTGGATAGATGACATTTTCTTAATTCGTTTGTCAGTTGATGGACATTTGGGTTGTTTCTGCTTTTTGGCTATTATTTATAACACGGGTATGAACATTTGTTTACAAGATCTTTTAAAAAAGATTTTTTTGTTTACAAGATTTCATGTGGATATATGGTTTCATTTCTCTTGGGTATATACCTAGGAATGGAATTGGTAGGTCATATGGTAGCAAAGTAATAACATTTTATGTCTCCACCAGAAGTTCCTGTTCCTTTAATTTTAGGCAAAATATTAAGTATTTTTTTTTGATAGATTCTCCCTCTGTCACCCAGGCTGGAGTGCAATGGTGTGATGCCGGCTCACTGCAACCCCCCGGCACCTGGCTTCAAGCAATTCTGCCTCAGTCTCCCTGGTAGCTGGAATTACAGGCATGTGCCACCATGCCTGGCTAATTTTTTGTATTTTAGTAGAGACGGGGTTTCACCATGTTGGCCAGGCTGGTCTCGAACTCCTGACCTCAAGCGATTTGCCTGCCTTGGCTTTCCAAAGTGCTGGGATTACAGGCATGAGCCACCGTGCCCAGCTATAAATACTTTTTAGATTTGTTCTGTAACTTAGTTATGTTACTTGAAAGCAGTTTAATTATTTTTGGTAAGGTGCGAATTATTCCCATGACTGCACCCTTTGGTGTACTCAAAACAATGCCCCACTGATTATGGAGTTTTCCAGTACACACTCCCACATTGCTTGGAGGAGAGGACCTAGAGAAAAGTCGCAGGGCAGAGAAGCAGCGGAGGGTGGCCCTGGATTTGGCTTATCAGTCTTTAGGGCCCTCCTGCCCTAGGAAGGGCAGTGAGGACCATGGTTTTGCCTCCATCATTAACACCCTGTCCATGAGCTTGCAGGACTGAGGTAGACCCAGAGGAGAACTGGAAGGGCCAGAGTCTGCTGTCTGAGTCCCTTCTCTGGGGGTGCCTGGGCCTTGCTGCACTTCCTTTTCGGGCTAACTTCATCCTGATCACACTTGATTTTCCTACTGGGATTTCCCTTCTTTCCAATTTCTTCACCAACTTAAAAATTCTGTATTGAGGCTGGGTGCAGTGGCTCATGACTCTGATCAGCACTTTCAGAGGCTGAGGTGGGCGGATCACGAGGTCAGGAGATTGAGACCATCTTGGCTAATATGGTGAAACGCCATCTCTGCTAAAAAAAATAAAATAAAATAAAAATTAGCCAGGCGTGGTGGTACGTGTCTATAGTCCCAGCTGCTCAGGAGGCTGAGCTGAGATTGCAGGACTGTGCTCCAGCATGGGCAAGACTCTGTCTCAATACATACAAAAATTATGTATTGAGAGTAGTTTCCTACATTACCTCAAATCTCATTCAGAACAAGGATCATTCCTAGAAGTCAGAAAGGAGGGGAAATAAGCTTAGTCACAGAAGGCTACTTCATACTTGAGCTTCTGTTTCAAGGACAGTGAGTACGTGGTGGTGGAGCCCTGTCCCTCTGCAGTGTCTAGTGTACTGATACATTTTAAGATTGAGGTGTAACTTACATGTAGTAAATGCCCAGACTTATGATGTGTGGAAACAAAAGAGTTTTCCAGAACAGAATGTTACTTAGGCTCTCTGGTGCTGTGTAAGCAACAGGTAGTCTTCCCATTTCATTTTTGGTGGTTCTCTCCTTGGCTTGGGTAATTTCCTCCCATGCTCCTTTCTGGAGTCTTCTGTGTGCAGCAATCTATTCTCTGGTACCCTGTCTTATAAACTCTAGTGACCCAGATCTAGCTGGACTCTAAACTTCAACTCATCAACTTAAAGTTTGCTGAGATCTGCCTGGGTTCCCGCTTCATGCATTGTATTCTGTAATCTCCCTCAAGGTAGTATGTCAACAGTCAGATAACTCCATTGATAACTCTATTGCTAACTGATTCAATCTATTTATAACTGATTCCCTGTCTCTAAATGATTTACTCATTTTGTTTTCGGATATTTAGTGTCTTCAAGACCATTCTTTCATATATATTGTCCAGTGCTTTTGGCTTTTTTGCACAAGACAGCAAATCCTTTTCCTGTTACCTTATCGTGATCAGAAGTAGACATTTGTATCTATTTTAAAAATAAATTTATCATATGATTATGATACAGTCAGTCACCTCAGCCCTAGGCTATAGGTTAGCATTTGAGAATTGATGCTCTAAGTTGCTCTGGACTACTTCTTTTCTTTTGAGACAGAGTCTTGTTCTGTCACCTGGGTGGAGTGCAGTGGTGCGATCTTGGCTCACTGCAATCTCTGCCTTCTGGGTTCAAGGGATTTTTGTGTCTCAGCCTCCCCAGTAGTTCGGATTACAGGCACATGCTACCATGCCTGGCTAATTTTTTGTATTTTTAATTTTTTTCTTGTTTTTGAGATGGAGTCTCACTCTTGTCACCCAGGCTGGAGTATAGTGGCATGATCTCAGCTCACTGCAACCTTTGCCTCCTGGGTTCAAGTGATTCTCCTGCCTCAGCCTCCCCAGTAGCTGAGATCACAGGTGCCTGCCGCCATTCCTGGCTAATTTTTGTATTTTTAGTAGAGACAGGGTTTCACATGTCGCCCAGGCTGGTCTTGAACTCCTGAGCTTGGGCAATTCACCTGCCTTGGCCTCCCAAAGTGCTAGGATTACAGGCACGAGAGCCACCGTGCTCAGCCTACCAGACTACTTCTCACTGATCTTCAGTTATCCATAAACCTTTTTCCATGCCATTGCTTTTCCAGTTCTCTAAGTCCTGAATACCTTCCTTTCTTTTGTTTTTCTTATCCAATCCTTTTGTATGTGGGGGTGGAAAGGAGGTGGGGGGTCTTGCTCTGTCACCCAGACTGGAATGCAGTGGCATGATAATAGCTCAGTGCAGCCTCAAACTCCTGGGCTCAAGTGATCCTACCAGCTCAGCCTCTTGAGAAGGCAGGACCAGAGGCACGTACCACCATGCTTGGCTAATATTTTTTTTATATTTTTGGAGACAGGTCTCACTCTGTTGACCAGGTTGATCTCAGACTCTTGGCTTCCTGCCCTCAAGCAATCCTCCTTCCTGAGCCTCAGAAAGTGCTGGGATTACAGGAGTGAGCCACCATGTCTGGCCAATCTTGAAGATTCTTCAAAGTTTAATCAAAATGCTGTCTCCTCCTCCTCAGAGTAGCAAGGACTCCACCCTTCTGTTGAGAAAATCATTCCTTCCTAAGTACTTCTACAATAAATTTATTTTTGTCATAGTAGTTGTTATATTCTGCATTTATAATAGTTGTTTGCTCATTTTTTTGTAAAATTACTAAGGACAGAGACTTTTTCTTGCACAAAGTAGGTATTGTATTGTATTATACACTAAGGAAATGAAGGAGGGCCTTGAAAGGAATAGACCAAGTACTAGAACTAAGTGGTATAGAGAGAATATTTTAGTCTTAGCATAAGGTGGTTTGTAAAGTCTTGTTTTGGTCCAGTAAATCTAGGATTAGGTTAGCAAATAGGATTCATCTTGCTTGGGGAATCTGACTAGATGGTATGTTGAGAAGGATTCTGAGGCCACATTACAGCTCATTGAGAAAGACAGCCATTAGATAATAAAGTATTGGATTGTCTCAGGTATTTTGACTAAACGTAGGATATTTTATAATAATATTAGGTTGATGCAAAAATAATTACAGTTTTCCCCTTAAAAGTAGTGTCAAAACCACAATTACTTTTGCACCAACCTAATAGCTAACAAATATATAATACACGTCAGGCAGTGTTCTAAGCACACACACACATCGATGCATTTACTTACCCTGAAAATCCATTGAATTAAGTTCTATTAATAGCCCCATTTTGCAGGTAGGGAAACTGAGACATAGAGGAGTTAAGTAACTTCCTCAAGTCATACTGCTGGTAATTCTGGCTCCAGACAGTTCTGCCATTGTCACTGTTATGTAGCTGTTCTAATGAACATTCAGTGTTTTCAGAAACACTGGTAGGTAGCATATACAGCTATATGAAATGGGCAAAATAGATCTGTTGCTTGCTAATATGATAATAGACCAAACTTCCCAAATGTCTACCTTAGATTAGAAAGATTTATCTTCTGATCCCTGTAGTCATGTCTGATCCTTTGTGTTTTATTTCTTTAGGGTCCCTTGCCAGCTCCATCTTTGACCCACTCAGATACCTGGTGGGAGCTTCAGGAGGAGTCTATGCTCTGATGGGAGGCTATTTTATGAATGTTCTGGTGGTAAGAACCAGGGGGATGGAGTTCATGGGTCTCTTAAAAAAACAGAAAACAGTAACTGTTCTTTGGTTCAACTACATTTATCAATATTTACTGAACACTCATTTTTCTGAGAATTGTATGGCAATGCCATTTTATTTCCTTTCCTTTCCTTTTTTTTTTTTTTGAGATGGAGTCTTACTCTGTCACCCAGGCTGGAGTGCAGTGGTGCAATCTCAGCTCACACCTCTGCCTCCCACATTCAAGAGATTCTCCTGCCTCAGCCTCCTGAATAGCTGGGACTATAGGCATGTGCCACCATGCCCAACTAATTTTTGTATTTTTAGTAGAGACAGAGTTTCACCATGTTGGTCAGGCTGGACTCCAACTCCTGACCTCATCATCTGCCTGCCTAAGCCTCCCAAAGTGTTGGGATGACAGGCATGAGCCCCTGCACCTGGCCGCTTTCTTTTCTTTCTTTCTTTTTTTTTGAGATGGAGTATTACACCATCGCCCAGGCTGGAGTGCAATGGTGTGATACCGAGTCACTGCACTTCTGCCTCCTGGGCTCAAGTAATCCTCCCACCTCAACCTCCCGAATAGCTGAGACTACAGGCATGGGATGACTAATGTTTGTATTGTTTGTAGAGCCAGGGTTTTGCCATGTTGCCCAGGCTGGTCTCGAACTCCAGGGCTCAAGTGATCTGCCCACGTTGGCCTCCCAAAGTGCTGGGATTACAGGTGTGAGCCTCTGCACCTAGCTTCCTTTCATATTTTTATCATTTTTTTTCTGATTTCAACAGTGATGAGTATGAAATAACATTTTAAATAAAAAAAATAGAAAGTTAAGGTCCTCATATATCTGTTAACTAGTGGGTGGTGAAAGAGCTTGTTGACAGTTTTACATATATATTTTTTTCAGACCTTTTTTTTCTCAAAGGAAAGCAAATTTATTAAGCAAGTAAAGGAATAAAAGAATGGCTACTTCATAGGCAGAGCAGCCCCAACCTTTTCTACATGTATTCAAAATCCTACCAATGTTAATATTATAAAAATGACATCACCCTTATATTGTTCTGCATTTTATCATAAAGCACCCTGACCATCTACCCATGTCATTGCTTAGAAATCCTCCCTGCTTAGCAGATGCTCCCTAGTATCCTCTGTATAGATGCTCCATGATTTATTTAACGAATCTTTCATTGAAAAAATTTGGGGGTGATTCCTGCTTTTCATGTTTAGAAGTAATGCTATAAGAAATGCTCTTTTACATTTATCTTTTTGCATTTGTGTAATTTTCTTTTTGTAGGATAAATTTCTAGGCGGGGCATTGTGGCTCATGCCTATAATCCCAGCACTTTGGGAGGCCAAGGTGGGCAGATCATGAGGTCAAGACATGGAGACCATCCTGGCCAACATGGTGAAACCCCATCTCTACTAAAAATACAAAAATTAGCCAGGTGTGGTGGGACATGCCTGTAGTCCCAGCTACTTGGGAGGCTGAGGCAGGAGAATTGCTTGAATCCAGGTGACAGAGATTGTAGTGAGCCAAGATTGAGCCACTACACTCCAGTCTGGATAACAGAACGAGATTCTGTCTCAAAAAAAAAAAAAAAAAGTACATACCAAATTGCCTTCCAAGGTTATCATATAGTCTTGCATTCCCATGATAATATGTAAGAGGGCCAATCACTTTTAAAAACAGGTTAAAAAATCCTGACTAGTTATTAGTCCTTTTGCCATTTAGGTATGCTTTTTTTTTTTCCTTGGGAACCATAGGTATGCTTTAAAAATATTCTAGGGGCCAGGTGCAGTGGCTCAAGCCTGTAATCCCAGCACTTTGGGAGGCCGATGTGGGTGAATCACCTGAGGTCAGGAGTTTGAGCCCAGCCTGGCTAACATGGTGAAACCCTGTTCTACTAAAAATACAAAAAATTAGCTGAGAATGGTGGCGTGCACCTGTAATCCCAGCTACTTGGGAGGCTGAGGCAGGAGAATTGCTTGAACCTGGGAGGCGGAGATTGCAGTGAGCTGAGATTGCACCATTGTACTCCAGCTTGGGCAACAAGAGTGAAACTGCATGTCAAAACAAAAAATTCTAGAAAGAGCCCAGGTGAGGTGGCTCATGCCTGTAATCCCAGCACTTTGGGAGGCTGAGGTGGGCGGATCACGAGGTCAAGAGATTGAGACCATCCGGGCCCACATGGTGAAACCCCATCTCTACTAAAAATACAAAAATTAGCTGGGCATCGTGGCACACACCTATAATCCCAGCTACTCAGTAGGCTGAGACAGGAGAATTGCTAGAATCTGGAAGGTGGAGGTTGCAGTGAGCCGAGATCATGTCACTGCACTCCAGCCTGGCGATAGAGTGAGACTTGGTCTCAAAAAAAGGAAAAAATTCTAGGAAGAAAAGTGTAAAGCAATTATAAAACCGGTCCAAATATAGAAATCACTTAGAAAAGTGGTTTTTACAACTTTGGATTGCAACCCATTAGTGGTTGTAGACTAACTATAAGGAATTGCAGCCAAAAATTAAACCCAAGTTAAAAAAAAGCCAGTGTTATTGTTTGATTTATGTATGTACTGGGTTGTTATGTAAATTATTTCTTTCATGGTCATAAGAGTTTGAAAATAATTGATTTTGAATAAACATGCCTATTTCAGCATCTTTTCTCCTTGGGAAGAGAATTACTAATTTGAAAGGGAAGGGAGAAGTAATTCGATAAATTATAGTAGATGTGTCTGACTCAGCAGTTTGTAGTGACACATAGGGACCCAAAGCTCTAATCCAACAGTGAGCCAGGTGTGTTGGTGTGCACCTGTAGTCCCAGCTACTCAGGAGTCTAAGACAGGATGAGGGCTTGAGCCCAGGAGTTTGAGGCTGTAGTGAGCTATAGATTGCACCACTGCACTCCAACCTGGGTGACACAGTGAGACCCTGTCTTCTACCTCCCCCTGAGAACCTCCCAATACACTCCCCACAAAAAACCCCGCAATAATTTTTGACCAATATTTTCAATATTTTTGAAATTACTTCAAAAAATTAAGATAAGACTCAAATCTCAGTTAAGTCTTTGCTAAATACTACTGGGAAAGAGGATGAAGAAATATCAAATGAATATTGATCAAAAATCTTAGGAATATTTCATCAAACTTAGTTTAATAGCATCTATCTATTTACTGACATGTTAAGTGTTGATTTTATGTCACTTTTATTTAGATTATTTCTGGCTAGCAAAATTGCATCATTACATCATGAAATTAAATACCTTGGCATTTTATTCTCCCATGTGCACTGTACTTCCCAAATACCTTTGAAAACTCGGCTGTGACACTCATGCTTTGTTTCACAAATATTTGACCCTGGGAGATTATTTCAAATGAAGAGCAGATGAAGAGAGAGTAGAGTTGAGGTTTCTTTTGCCCACTGATAGCTTATATGATTATTATTTATCTCTTTGCAAGAATTTTCGAGAAATGATTCCTGCCTTTGGAATTTTCAGACTGCTGATCATCATCCTTATCAGTAAGTGTGTTTTGTGAACACGTCATACTGTCGAGGTCAAAATGAAATGCAGAGACGAATGTCTAAGCATTTTATTTGGGAATCACAGAATTGCAATTTGGGGTATACACACAGACCTGGGAGGTCTACGGTATGTCTGAAGAACAAAAGAAAAGGCTGGGGGTTTCCTTAGAAAGAGAAATGTTAATGTTATTTTGAAAGAGAGCTCATTGGTACTAAAGACACCTTTGGGATCTGGTTGGTGAGTGATGGTGGTGGGGAGAACCAGTCTTAGACTTGTGCTGTTTAGACCTGATTCTTAGACTCAGTTTGTTTCAGCAGCTATTGGGTGAAACTAGTCTTAAGGTTAGAGCAGATAGTTTCAGCAGCTGGGCTGATGGAGAATTCAACTGTGGGAGCAGTGCTATGTGCCTGAGTGCTTTTGTCGCCTGTCGACTCTGATTTAGTTGGCTATGACAAGAATGACCTATTTTGCATAATCAACATTCAAAATATTTTCACAATTTTATTGGTTTAGCCTTCAGAAGGCCTTTCCTCCTTTTCCAGACACTAACACGGAGAATGACTGCTGTCCTACAGTTAGAAAAAAGTGTCCGCTTCACAGCACTAAGCAGAAAGAAGTAAACAAAAGAGTTCTACGGACTCTCATGGGTGGTTCTTAGACATGCCTATGTGATGTATTTTTGCTTTTTGTATTATTTCGGAGTGGGGAAGCCAAGAGGATAGAGCCTCAGGCACCCCCGCTACCGGAACCACAATAGCTTCACTTAGGTTTTATATACTGGACTTTTTCATATATTGGAAGCTGTATGTGATTTTGTCTGCAGTATAAAAACTTGGAAACCACTGATATTTCTAAATTTTCAGATTAAAAAAAAAAAAACCTGGCTGGGCACGGTGGCTCACACCTGTAATCCCAGCACTTTTGGGAGGCTCAGGTGGGTGGATCATGAGGTCAGGATATTGACACCATCCTGGCCAACATGGTGAAACCCAGTCTCTACTGAAATACAAAAATTAGTCGGGTGTGGTGGTGCGCACCGGTAGTCCCAGTCACTTGGGAGGCTGAGGCAGGGGAATCGCTTGAAACCAGGAGGTGGAGGTTGCAGTGAGCCTAGATCGTGCCACTGCACTCCAGCCTGGCGACAGAGCAAGACTCCATCTCAAAAAACAAACAGAACAAAACAAAACAAAACAGATCCAGGATATAAGTATTGCGTGACAGTTGAGGATTAAAGAGAGAGAGTTGGGTGGTGAGGGGATAACCGTTCAAGAAGCCCAGACTAGGAGGGTGACTAATGTGGCTTTTGAAATCTCCAAGAATTGTAGAATTACATGCTCAGGGAGGTTAGGAATAATGCTGTCTGGAGAGGGGATGGAAGTGCAGCTGAGTCTGAGAGTAAAAGTAGATTCCAGATGACAGCAAGCTGTAGGGCGTAGAGGAAAACAGGAGCAAAGGTGGGGGTGGTAACTGGAGTTGACAGACCTGCTCCAGCTGAAGTTCCTCCACTTGAAGGGCTGCGGAAGAATGACAGACCATGGGGTCAGACCTGAAAGCCAAGGTAGAGGTTATACCTGAGAAAGCCTAAGATGCTGGCTGTCCAAATAGTAAGAAAACAGGATTTTGCAATTTGTATCAAGGGTTCAATTGTCTCCATTACAGGAACAGAGGCAACTATGTCTGTTGATAAGGGACTCTTCAGTTTGTTGAGCATTTAATTGTAAGAACACTAATATTTCACTCTGAAATAAAATAATTCCCTTTTTTTTTTTTTGAGACTGAGCCTTGCTCTGTCACCCAGGTTGGAGTGCAGTGGCGCGATTTCAGCTCACTGCAACCTCTGCCTCTTGGGGTCAAGCAATTCTCCTGTCTCAGCCTCTCCTGTCTACAGGCACAGGCCATGAGGCCCGGCTAATTTTTGTATTTTTAGTAGAGATGGGGTTTCACCATATTGGTCAGGCTGGTCTTGAACTCCTGACCTCAGGTGATCCACTCGCCTCAGCCTCCCGAAGTGATGGGATTGCAGGCATCAGCCACCTCGCCCAGCCAAGTGGTAAATCTTCTTAATCGTGAATGGCAATTGGCCTAAAAAACATTGCTTCATCAAGCATTATGTTTGAGACCAGCCTGGGCAACATAGGGAGACTCTGTCTCTACAAAAAAATTGGCCAGGGGTTGTGGTGTGGGCCTGTGGTTCCAGCTACTTAGGCGGCTGAGATGGGAGAATTTGCTTGAGCCTCGGAGCTTGAGGCTGCAGTGAGCCACTGTACTCTAGTCTCACTGGGTGGCAGAGTGAGGTTGTCTTAAAAAAAAGAAAAAAATCTATATGAAGGGAACTCTTTTAAAGTAAATGTCAAATTTTTAATTAGGACAGTGGTTTGGCTTCTTGGAATAAGGGCTGCTTTTCAGGCGGGAAGACATGTCTCACTTTAGAGGCTGCAGTAGCCTGGAAGAAAAGTCCCCTAGGAAGCAAAAAGAGGAAAGAGCCAAAGTCAGATCTAGGAAGACGGTAAGATGGAGAGAAACTGGTTGGAGAAATTAACATACTAATGGTTACAAAGACTTTCTGAGAGGAGGTCTCCAATTGCTGAAGACTAAACCAAAGTAAACTTTTCCAGTTATGTGGTAGTTTTTTTTTGTTTGTTTGTTTGAGATGGAGTTTCGTTCTTGCGGCCCAGGCTGGAGTGCAAGATGCGATCTTGGCTCACTGTAACCTCTGCCACCCGGGTTCAAGCGATTCTCCTGCCTCAGCCACCTGCCACCATGCCCAGCTAACTTTTGTATTTTTAGTAGAGATGGGGTTTCACCGTGTTGACCAGGCTGGTCTCGAACCCCTGACCTCGTGATCTGTCTGCCTCCGCCTCACAAAATGCTGGAATTACAGGTGTGAGCTGCCACGCCCAGCCAAGGCAGTGTTTTTAAAAAATACTTTCCTAGTCCCATGGGTATGTTATTTATGTCAACCAGGAAATGCAAATGATGATTGAAAATATGATATAGCCTCATTAATCTAGCACTTTGTGGAATAGTCATTTACAGTTAAAGGAATATTGAATACTTTCTCGACCTCAATTTCTGTCCAGTGACTTCAACATCAGTCAATACAGTATTGAAAGGGAATCTAGTCAGAGCACATGTCCCGATGCTATTTTCCCAAAGGCAAGGACTAGGTCTTTTCATCTCCTAGGACACAGTGGCTCACTAAGTAGAGCACAGGGAATTAGGGGATGGGTGAGGAATGTGATATCTGCAAGAGATGTTTCTAAGCACTAACATATAGGGCAGAGTTCTTCTAGGCCAAGAAGCTGGAAGCTCCTTTTGCAGCACAGATCTGACTTACTTGAAGACTACCTAACTTCTGGCCCTCACAGTTTTATTGGAGAATATGGAATCATTTCCTTTCATGGACTGACACCTTCACAATTCCTGATGGTAATTACAGGCAATTAGTGTGGTGGCTGAGAGTAGAGCCTTGGTGTCTTGGCTTCTCTATGTATAAAACGTCACCATCCTTCTTCACTTCGATTGTTATAATAGTACTTTTCCAGCTGCTCTTCCAGTTCCTGTTCTTGCTTCCTTGTAGTCTGCTTTCTATACTGCAGCTAGAATGATCTTTTAAAAACCACCAGAGTGGTCACTCAAGCCTGTAATCCCAGCACTTGGGAAGCCGAGGTGGGTGGATCACCTGAGGTCAGGAGTTCGAGAGTTGGAGACCAGCCTGGCCACATGGTGAAACTCTGTCTCTACTAAAAATACAAAAATTAGCCAGGCATGATGATGGGGACCTGTAATCCCAGCACTTTGGGAGGCCGAGGCAGGTGGATCATCTGAGGTCAGGAGTTCAAGACCAGCCTGAACAACATGGTGAAACCCCTGTCTCTACTAAAAGTACAAAAGTTAGCCAGGTGTGGTGGTGCATGCCTGTAATCCCAACTAATCAGGAGGCTGAGGCTTGAGAATTGCTTGAACCTGGGAGGCAGAGATTGCAGTGAGCCAAGATCACATTACTGCACTCCAGCCTGGGCGACAGAGTTGAGCCTGTCTCAAACAAGGAAACAAAGAAACTGTATCATGTCACTCCTGTGCTCAAGAGCTTTCAAAGACTTCCTGTCACTCAGATTAAAAGTTGAAGTCCTTACAGTGGTCCATGCAGACCCTACATAAGCTGTCCCCTGCTACTTGTCTGATCTCATCATCCACAACCTTATTCCTAACTCTAGTCCAGAATCACCTGGAGGTCTTGTTAAAACAAAGAAGTTGTTGGAAACAACAGCTTGACCACAGTTGGTGGTTGGAAAACAGTCACGGAAGTTGGAATCTGCTAAGGAGTGTACAACTCACCTTCTGAAAACAAAAACAAAGACCTAACTCCACAGAAAGCTGAGTTCCACCCTCAATGTTTCTGGTTCAATAGGTCTGGGGTGGGTCTAAGAGTTTTCATTTCTAGTAAGTTTCCAGGTGAAGCTGATGCTGCTGGTCTTGGTAAAAGCTACTGTGAAAACCACTGATCCAGCCAGCTCAACTGCTTTGGTATTCCTCAAACACACCCAGGCACATTCCTGCTTAGGGACTTTTCCCTCTCTCTGAAACACTCTTGTGTCAAATAGCAGCATGACTTGTACCTTTACCTCTGTCCAGTGTCGTATTCTCAGAGAGATCATCCTTGACACCCCTATTGAAAATCACACGCAACATCTGGCATCCTCAGTTCTTCTTCCTCTCTTTGTATTTTCTCCACAGCACTTAGCACCATTTGACATACTGTTTTACTGTCAGCTCTATGAGGTGGGGTTGTCAGATCTGTCTGTTGCTGCCTCTCTACCACCCAGAATATGCCAGACACATAGAGGACAATGAATGCTTGTTGGATGAATAAATCCGTAAAATTGAATAATGATGGTTCCTACTTCATAAGATCATCATGAGGATTAATGACTTAAAAGAGCGTTTAGAATAGCACCTGGGACAGAGTAAGTCTCAATAAATGATAGCTAGTATTGTTATGATTAGAGGGGAACCAAAAGCATTTGGTGTACTATTGTGGACATTCGGAGCCTTTATCAGGGTGTTTTTCCTTCTAGTTGTGTTGGACATCGGATTTGCTCTCTATAGAAGGTTCTTTGTTCCTGAAAATGGGTCTCCGGTGAGTTCAGTTTCTTTCTTTTTAAAAATAGAAATTTGTTTACTGTCAAAAAGGGTTACCAAATAGGGGTTACAGCACTGTGATTTAGGACAGCCAAATTTCCATTTGGAAGTGAAGACAATTTTTAAGGAAATCAGACTTTTGTATTGTTCTTCAGCTTAACTCTCTCATAGCCTTGATCACTGGTTCTTCTTCACCGCACCTGCCATACTGGTAGCTATTCCAAAACAGAAGAGAATGGATTTTCCTGTCCACATAGAATAAAAAGCAGATTGGTTTAGCCAGGCATGATGGCATGTGCCTGTAGTCCCAGCTACTTGGGGAGCTGAGATGGGAGGATTGCTTGAGTCCCAGAGGTCGAGTCTGCAGTGAGCTGTGATCATGCCATTGCATTCCAGTGTGGGCGACAGAGTGGAGACCCCATTTCAAAAAACAAAACAAACAAGCAGATTGGAAAACAACGATGAAAATTTGGGAAATTAAATGCATAATAAAGAAAATTGACAAAAATTTCCAGTTTTGCCAGGATTTGTCTTTGAATTGGGTAGTTTCTGTTTGGGTGTTTGTGTGTATATTATTACTTTTGTTTTAATTATGACATCCCATGTATGTGGGATCAGTTTATGCTGCTACAGAGATCCTTCAAGGAAACTCAACTATTCTCTTAGTTGGTATTATATAGAATTATTTTAAATACAATGATGATCAAGAATGAGAAACAATTTCTCTGCCTTTTGTACTCAGAGAATGGGTACATTTTTTAGCTTTGTATGTTTCAGAGTATCTCCTTCTCTCTGTGCATATGAAGTTTTGTGTCTCTTTTGCCTTACCCCCTAGTTCTCTAGACCTTTAAGACTCTTGTTTGACTGTGGTGGTGTTTATATTTGAATAAGAGAGACACAACTGAAATACACAATTATTATTGTCTTCACTTATTTCCATTTCCCCCCCTTTTCTCCAAAGGTGTCTTTTGCAGCTCACATTGCAGGTGGATTTGCTGGAATGTCCATTGGCTACACGGTGTTTAGCTGCTTTGATAAAGCACTGCTGAAAGATCCACGGTTTTGGATAGCAATCGCTGCTTATTTAGCTTGTGTCTTGTTTGCTGTGTTTTTCAACATTTTTCTATCTCCAGCAAATTGACCTGCCCCTATGATAGGCCAACTAATAAAAAGAGCCATCTGGAGGAAGAAAAAAAAAAAGGAAAACTCTATGAAGAAACAGAGAAGTCTCAGCAAAGTCTAACAATTTTATATAGAGGAGAAGACAGCACTAAATTAATCAGTTTCAAGGATTGCCTACAAAAGGATCTTAGGATTTAAGGAAGGGGCTTCTGAATGTAGAAAGGGAAAAAGAGAGAAAAGAAGGGTAGTAAAAACTAGGGATGGGGAGGCGTGGTGGCTCACCCCTTTAATCCCAGCACTTTGGGAGGCCAAGGTGGGCAGATCACCTGAGGTTGGAAGTTTGAGACCAGCCTGACCAACATGGAGAAACCCCATCTCTACTAAAAATACAAAATCAGCCCAGTGTGGTGGCACACGCCTATAATCCCACCTACTTGAGAGGCTGAGGCAGGAGAATCGCTTGAACCTGGGAGGCGGAGGCTGTGGTGAGCTGAGATTGTGCCATTGCACTCCAGCCTGCGCAACAGGGTGAAACTTCGTCTCAATAAATAAATAAAAATACCAAAGTTATCTGGACATGATGGCGTGTGCCTGTAGTTCCAGCTACTTGGGAGGCTGAGGCAGGAGAATTGCTTGAACCCGGAAGGCAGAGGTTGCAGTGAGCTGAGATCATATCACTGCACTCCAGCCTGGGCGACACAGTGACACTCCGTCTCGAAAAAACAAAAACAAAACAAAACAAACCCCTAGAGATTGGGTCTTTCTCAGGCATATGGTATCCTATAAAACAGACTTACTCTCTTGGAGGATATATTTTGGAGAATGCTTGATAAAATCTATGAAAACTGTACAATGCTGATAATAAAAACTTTTTTATACGTGTGTCAGACTCCTAATAATCACTTTAAAATAGATCATTGTTTGAGAAGATAGATCACTACTGTTTGAGGTGTTTTACATACTTTATTGATAATGTTGTCAACCACCCAGAAAGGTAGATACTACACTGCATCTTAGAGTAATCTTAAAGAATCCCTTAAAGAAACCCTTAACGAATTAAATACTTGTCTAAGGGCGGCAGAATTTAAACACAGAAAATGACTTGGAAACCTGTAGTCTCCCCTATAGGTCCCACAATGCTGTGCTCCTCAAATACTGAAAAATAAGAGTATCATAGGAGTACAGGAACAAATATCTGTGCGGGGTACATCATGAAATACCTCATAGAAGAAGACTGAGGATTTTCTGGACTGCTAGTTTAAGATTTTGATACTGTATCTAAGATCCCAAGGAAACTGGCACTGGCTTTCTGGTGCACACTATACACCTAGACTTCAGATTCTCTTCTGTGATCAGACTGTCATCCTTAGTGTGGCTCATGGTTCCCCTAAGAGTGGGTAGGAATTTATTTGCAAAAGCTAAAATGTCATACCCGAAAGCTGAGAAGCATGTGTCCTTTTCCTCTATAGATTTCAGACTGTGGTTTTTTATGCTTTAGAAATGGTAGTTTTAAGTCATCTGAACACAGGAAGTATAATTTTTTCTTTTATCATCAACATTTATTAAACATCCATCTAAATATGTTACTGTATTCTGAAAAGGGCATATACACTTACATATGGTGAGATAAGTTACTACTTTACTATTTTGAGAAAAACTGATCAGAAATGTGTTTAAAAAGTTAAATTCAAGTATGAACGTGGGCATATGAGTGTTATTTATTTATTTATTTATTTATTTTTTTGAGATGGAGTCTCGCTCTGTCTCCCAGGCTAGTGTGCAGTGGCCCAATCTTGGCTCATTGCAATCTTTGCCTCCTGAGTTCAAGTGATTCTCCTACCTAAGCCTCTCCAGTAGCTGGGATTACAGTGCACGGCACCACGCCTCGCTTTTTTTTTTTTTTTTTACATGGAGTCTTGCTCTGTTGCCCAGGCTGGAGTGCAGTGGCACGATCTTGGCTCACTGCAACCTCTGCCTCCCAGGTTCAAGCAATTCTCCTGTCTCAGCCTCCTGAGTAGCTGGGATAACAGGTGTCCACCACCAAGCTTGGCTAATTTATATATTTTTTGTAGAGATGGGGTTTCACCATTTGGCCAGGATGGTCTTGGACTCCTGACCTCAAGCGGTCTGCCCACTTCGGCCTTCCAAAGTGTGGGAATTACAGGTATGAGCCACCATGCCTGGCCTTATGAGTGTGTTCTCGGTTAAAGAAAGATTCAAACAAGAAGTTAAAAGATAAAATCTCAGCCAGGTGCAGTGACTCATGCCTATAATCTCAGCACTTTGGGAGGCCAAAGTGGAAGGACTGCTTGAGCCTAGAGTTTGAGAACAGCCTAGATAACATTCAAGAACTCTATAAAAAATAAAAAATAGCCAGGTGTGGTGGTGCTTGCCTGTAGTTCTAGTTATTCCAGAGGCTGAGTTGGGAGGATTACCAGAACTCAGGAGTTCAAGGTTACAGTGAGCTATGATCATGCCACTGCCCTCCAGCCTGTGTGACAGAGTGAGACCCCGCTTAAAAAAAATCTTTTACCTTCTCACATCAAACCTCCTGTTTTCCCCTAGTGATGACCATCATCAGTGGTCACAACAGTATGGTGTGTATCCTTGCAGACCTTTTTCTATATAGGATGAGCAGAAAGGGAAATAGATTTAAGATGATGGCCAATTCATCCACTGTATTGAACTGCACTGAATCTGCTCTATACCCACAAAGGGACAAATTCAAAGACCAAATTAGAGGTGTCCATAGTATAACTTCCCCTAGGCATGATTTGCTTCTCAGATTTATTGAAACTAGGAAAAGTTTGTGTTAATCTATTTTAGCTTTATATATGTGTGTGTATATGTATACACACATATGTATATATATATATAAAGTGTATATATAAACACATGTATATATATATATAAGTATATATATAAATATAAAAGTATATATATATGTATTTTTTTTTCTTGAGACAGGATCTCTGTCACCCAGGCTGGAGTGCAGTGGCGCTCTCTTGGCTCACTGCAACCTCTGCCTCCTAGGTTCAAGCAATTCTCCTGCCTTAGCCTCCGGGGTAGCTGGGATTACAGGCATGTGCCACCATGCCCAGCTAATTTTTGGTATTTTTAATAGAGACAGGTTTCACCATGTTGGCCAGGCTGGTCTCAAACTCCTGACTTCAGGTGATCCACGTTGTCTTGGCCTCCCAAAGTGCTAGGATTACAGATGTGATCCTCCACGCCCAGAGTATTTTTTATTAGATATTTTTATCAAATGTAGATTTTAACAGGGTAAATGTGATACATGTATTTTTCTGTAACCTGCTTTACAACATGACCTAGGGATCTTTCTCTATTAGTTCATAGTGCTCTTTATTCTCTGAATAATACAGATGTACCATAGTTAACCATTCCTCTGTTGAACACTCAAATTATTGCTGATTTTGTAAAATTACCAACAATGCCATGTGAACATCCTAGCACATGCAGTGTGTCTCTGAGTGTGTATGTTGAATGAATGTTTCCAGTATCCACAAGCAGAAATGCTAGACCAATTTTGATAGGCTTCAGCTGCCTTTTAAATAGCTGTATCCATTTATATTCTTACCTACAGGATATGAGAGTAATGGTGTCTCCCTACTTTGCCAAAAGAAGGTATTATAAATCTTGAATTTTTTGCATTTTGATAGTTAAAAAGTAATTATTTCACTTAACTGTGTATTCTCTGGCTACAAGGTTGAGCAATTTTCAAGTTTATTAATAATTTATGTGTTACACATAATATATAATTCAGATAACACATATCCACCAGATCATTAGCTCTAAAGAGAGTTTAATGACCTAAAATACAATGTAATTGTTAATAACAGAACATGAGAATCAAGATTTATCTATGAAATCGGACATGACCCATTTATTAAGGCAGATGACCAAGAAGCTATTATCTAATAAGAAAGACTTTTTTGGTTCTAGAAACATGGTTTATTACACAATAAACAGTTTATTGAATTTCCCCAATGGCAAAAGTCACAGTACAAACAGTACACAAATACCTCCTGATTTTAAATTTGACATCTCTGCAATATAGAGGAATCATTTACTCAGCTTAATTTTGGGCTCATAACTTTAGTCTTCTAGACTCCAGTGTGTTATTAGGAATATTAGAAGCACTCTTATCTGTGCTGTCCAGTAAAGCAGCCACTAGGTAAGTGTAGCTCTTTAAATTTTTATTAAAATTATTTAAAATTAAAACTTCAATTGCTCTGATACATAAACTGTATTTCAAGTGTTCAATAGCTACATGTGGCTATTGGCTACCTGATTGGATAGCACAGATAGAATATTTCCATTGTTGCATAAAGTTCTATTGGACAGTGCTGTTTTAGAAGCAAGGAGGAGCAGAAAGGGAAATGGATTTTAGTTGATGGATGACACTGAACTGAATGGAATCTGTTCTATACCTGCAAAGGAACAAACTCAGAAAATAAATTGAAGATGGCCATGCTGTCACTTCTAAACATGGTTTGCTTCTCGATTTACCTAAACTAAGAAAGGTTTGTGTTAATCTCTCTGTTTTAGCTTATTAAGAGTTGTCTGAAATGTTTTTATCTTTTGCTTTTGAATTCTAAGGTACTTTATCTATGTATACTAGTTTTTATGTCAATTGCTATGAAAGCTTTCATTTGTAGCTAAATAATACTACTCCTTTCAGGAAATACTATGGTGTTGTTCTTTACGAAAAAAATCTTATTTCTTTTTATAATTATAAAAGTAAAATGTTCATAGTAAAAAATTAAAATATATACAATTACAACATATTAAGGAATTTGTAATCCCAACATCCAGAACTAATCACAGTTAATATTTTCATGAATATCATTCTAGACTTTTTTGTATACATCTGTAAATATAACTAAATTTATAATCATGGGGCCATGTTATTCTATTTTATAGCATCAATTTCACTGGAATGAAGTATCAAATGTCTTTTTGTGTATGTTTATCATTTCTACTGGTTGCACAGTATCACACTATGGATGTATTCCATTATTTAACCAGTTTTTCTTGTATTGATAATTATGTTTTTAGCTTACGACAACAACATGAATTACATCTTTGCTTACATATATTATTATTGTTATTATTATTTATGAACCATAAATGGTACTTACTTGCTTACATTTTAAAGTGCTTTGGGTTGCTGGGTCGGAGTATGCTATTATTATATTATTCAAGATAGAGTCTTGCTCTGTCACCCAGGCTGAAGTACAACGGCGAAATCTTGGCTCACTGCAACCTCCACTTCCCATGTTCAAGCTATTCTCCTGTCTCGGCCTCCTGAGTAACTGGGACTACAGGTGTCCACCACCACACCTGGGTAATTTTTGTATTTTTAGTAGAGATGGGGTTTCATCATGTTGACCAGACTTGTCTTGAACTCCTGACCTCAGGTGATCCACCCTCCTTAGCCTCCCAAAGTGCTGGGATTACAGGCGTGAGCCACCACTCGCAGCCCAAATTTTGTAAATTGTTGTCATATTAAAATGAACTCCAGGTTGGGCGTAGTGGCTCATGCCTGTAATCCCAGCACTTTGGGAGGCCGAGGTGGGTGGATCCCCTGAGGTCAGCAGTTCAAGACCAGCCTGGCCAACATGGTGAAATCTGTCTCTACTAACAATACAAAAATTAGCCGAGCATGGTGGCGTGTGCCTGTAGTCCTAGCTACTCAGGAGGCTGAGGCAAGAGAATTGCTTGAACCTGGGAGGCAGAGGTTGCAGCCAGTCAAGATTCAGTCTGGGCAACAGAGTGAGACTCTGTCTAAAAAAAAAAAAAAAAATTTATAAAAATTTGTCATAGCAAGGCCGGGTGCGGTGGCTCAAGCCTGTAATCCCAGCACTTTGGGAGGCTGAGGCGGGTGGATCACGAGGTCAAGAGATGCAGACCATCCTGGTCAACATGGTGAAACCCCGTCTCTACTAAAAATATAAAAAATTAGCTGGGCATGGTGGTGCGTGCCTGTAATCTGAGCTACTCAGGAGGCTGAAGCAGGAGAATTGCCTGAACCCAGGAGGTGGAGGTTGAGGTGAGTCGAGATTGCGCCATTGTACTCCAGCCTGGGTAACAAGAGCGAAACTCCGTCTTAAAAAAAAAAAAAAAATTGTCATAGCAAAGCATAATAAGAACTTTATACATTTTCATAGATATTACTGAGATGAATTTCTGAAAATGCTCACCAACTGCCACGAAGAAACAAAATTCATTTCAATTTGGATGAAAAAATGAATCTAAATTCCTATGAGAGCCAGATCTATTTCCTCTGGTTTCATTAAATGCTGTATCTTACTGAATTATCAAATGAAGCATATTCATTTTCCTGTGTGTATAAATGAGATTTAAGAATCACTCACTTTTTGGCCAGGCACCGTGGCTCGCATCTGTAATCCCTGCACTTTGGGAGGCAGGCAGATCATGAGGTCAGGAGATCGAGACCAACCTGGCCAACATGGTGAAACCCTGTCTCTACTAAAAATACAAAAATTAACCGGGCGTGGTGGCCATGCCTGTAATCCCAGCTACTGGGGAAGCTGAGGCAGGAGAATTGCTTGAACCTGGGAGGCAGAAGTTGCAGTGAGCCAAGATTGCGCCACTGCATTCCAGCCTGGGTGACAGAGTGAGACTCTATCTGAAAAAAAAAATTGACTTTGCTTATAACGTTTATATCAATTAATCTTAATAAATAAGGTTAAGATCAAGTCAGTAGTTTTAGAAACCTTTCCAAAAGTTCTCAGTTAAAAAACAATAGGCCAGGTGTGGCTTGTGCCCGTAATCCCAGCACTTTGAGAGGCTGAGGCAGGTGGCTCACCTGAGGTAAGGAGTTGGGAGACCAGCCTGGCCAACGTGGTGAAACCTCATCTCTACTAAAAATACAAAAATTAGCTAGGCGTGTGCCTAGTAGCTGGCACACGCCTGTAATCCCAGCTACTAGGGAGGCTGAGGCAGGAGAACTGCTTGAACCCAGGAGGCAGAGGTTGCAGTAAGCCCAAGATTGTGCCACTGCACTGCAGCTTAAGTGATAGGGCAAGATTCCGTCTCAAAAAAACAAAACAAAACAAAAAGCGCCCCAAAACAACCACAATAATAATAAACTTCAGCTACGTAAGATGACTTCTCTCTGATAAGGAATCCTACAATTATATTATTTTTCTTTAATTTTAATTTTTTTTTAAAGAGATGGGGTCTCACTAATATTGACCAGGTTGATCTTGAACTCTTAGCCTCTAGCAATTCTCTCACCTCAGCCTCCCAAAATGCTAGGATCACAGGCATGAGCCACCGTGCTCAGCCTACAATTATATATATGTTGTGCGTATGTGTACATATATGTGTATATGTATGTGTGTATATATGTATACATATATGTATTTTTTTGAGATCGAGTCTTGTTTTTTTGCCTAGGCTGAGATGCAGTGGCACAATCTCTGCTCACTGCAACCTCTGCCTCCCAGGTTCAAGTGATTTCCTTGCCTCAGCCTTGAGAGTAGCTGGGATTACAGACACCTGCCACCACATCTGGCTAATTTTTGTATTTTTAGTAGAGACGAGGTTTCACCACGTTGGCCAGGCTGGTCTGGAACTACTGACCTCAGATGATCTGAACATTGGCTCAAAGTGCTTGGATTACAGGCATGAGCCAATGTACACGGCCTACAATTATATTATATATGTATGTGTGTGTGTATATATATATATGTGTATATATATATATATATATATATGTATATATATATATATATATATTTTTTTTTTTTTTTTGAGACAGTATCTTGCTCTGTTGCCCAGTCTGGAGTGCAGTGGTGTGATCTCGGCTCACTGCAAACTCTGCCTCCCAGGTTCAAGCAATTCTCCTGTCTCAGCCTCCTGAGTAGCTGGGACTACAGGCACCCACCACCACTCCTAGCTAATTTTTGTATTTTTAGTAGAGGTGTGGTTTCACCACATTGGTCAGGCTGGTCTCAAACTCTTGATCTCAAATGATCTGCCCACCTCGGCCTCCCAAAGTGCTGGGATTACAGGCATGAGCCAATATGCAGGGCTTAAAATTATATTCTTTTTTGAGGGGACAGTCTTGCTCTGTCGCCAGGCTGGAGTGCAGTGGCGCAATCTCAGCTCACTGCAACCTCTGCCTCCCGGGTTCAAGCGATTCTCCTGTCTCAGCCTCCTGAGTAGCTGGGAGTTCAGGCAAATGGCACCATGCCCAGCTAATTTTTGTACTTTTAGTAGAGACGAGGTTTCACCATGTTGGCCAGGATGATCTTGATCTCTTGACCTCGTGATCCACCCACCTCGGCCTCCCAAAGTGCTGGGATTTTAGGCGTGAGCCACCGTGCCCAGCCCTGGCCTATATTCTCAATAGAGAATATATACACTCCTCCTCCGGGTATCATTTTTTTTCATTGTATTGTGATGTCTAAATATAAGTCATTTTAAATTCCTGACATCTAAATATATTATTGGTAATAGATTAACCATTTGGCCAGGTGTGGTGGCCCATACCTGTAATCCCCACACTTTGGGAGGCCAAGGCGGGCGGATCATGAGGTCAAGACAGGAGGATCACTTGAGTCTAGGAGTTTAAGACTAGCTGCAGCAATATCGTAGGACCCTGTCTCTGCAAAAAATAAAAAAATTATCTGGGTATAGTGGCACACACCTGTAGTCCCAGCTATTCATGAGGCTGAGGTGGGAGGATTGCTTCAACCTGGGAGGTTGAGGCCACAGTGAGCTGTGGTTGCAACACTGCACTCCAGACTGGGCAACACAGGGAGACTCTATCTCAGCAAACAAACAAAAAACCCTACTGCTATCCAGGAAAGAAGCAAAGCAACCAGCATATGGAAAAAGTGATGCATTGTTCTATTTTCACCATAGGTTTGCTTTAAGAAATAGTGCTCCCTTCAGAATGGAAGAATTTATCTGCCTCTTATTTGATGGGGATCAGAGCTACAATGGCTAACTAAATAAATATGGGGGACTGGAATCTTCTTGGAGATACTCTGGAAGAAGTTCACATCCACTCCACCATGATTGGAAAGATCTGGCTCACCATCCTGTTCATCTTTCGAATGCTTGTTCTGGGTGTAGCAGCTGAAGATGTCTGGAATGATGAGCAGTCTGGCTTCATCTGCAATACAGAACAACCAGGCTGCAGAAATGTGTGCTATGACCAGGCCTTTCCTATCTCCCTCATTAGATACTGGGTTCTGCAGGTGATACTTGTGTCTTCACCATCCCTGGTCTACATGGGCCATGCATTGTACCGACTGAGAGTTCTAGAGAAAGAGAGGCAAAGGATGAAAGCTCAGTTAAGAGTAGAATTGGAGGAGGAGTCTGAAATGCCTAGGGATCGGAGGAGATTGGAGCAAGAGCTTTGTCAGCTGGAGAAAAGGAAACTAAATAAAGCTCCACTCAGAGGAACCTTGCTTTGTACTTATGTGATACACATTTTCACTCGCTCTGTGGTTGAGGTTGGGTTCATGATTGGACAGTACCTTTTATATGGATTTCACTTAGAGCCTCTATTTAAGTGCCATGGCCACCCGTGTCCAAATATAATCGATTGTTTTGTCTCAAGACCAACAGAAAAGACAATATTTCTATTATTTATGCAATCTATAGCCACTATTTCACTTTTCTTAAACATTCTAGAAATTTTCCACCTAGGTTTTAAAAAGGTTAAAAGAGGGCTTTGGGGAAAATACAAGTTGAAGAAGGAACATAATGAACTCTATGCAAACAAGGCAAAAGAAAATGTAGCCAAATATCAGAGCATGTCTGCAAATTCACTGAAGCGACTTCCTTCTGCCCCTGATTATAATCTGTTAGTGGAAAAACAAACACACACTGCAGTGTACCCTCATTTAAATTCATCTTCTGTGTTTCAGCCAAATCCTGACAATCACAATGTAAATTATGAGAAATGCATTTTGGATGAACAGGAAACTATACTTTCTAATGAGATTTGCACACTTAGTACTAGCTGTAGTCATTTTCAACACATCAGTTCAAATAATAACAAAGATACTCATAAAATATTTGGAAAAGAAGTTAATGGTAACCAGTTAAGGGAAAAAAGGGAAACCGAAGGCAAAGACAGCAAAAGGAACCACCACTCTAGAGGTCACTCTTCTATTCCAGGTGTTGCTATGGATGGAGAGAACTACAGGAGGCAGTCACCCCAAACAGCTTTTTCCTTGCCAGCTAACTGCGATTGGAAACCACGGTGGCTTAGGGCTACATGGGCTTTCTCTAAAGAAGATGAAAACTGCAAGTCACCTCCTAAAGGTAACCTCAAAGGCCAGTTCAGAGAGGGCACAGTCAGAAGCCTTTCTCCTTCACAAAGAGAGTCTCAATCAATTGACATTCCAAACATTGCTGATTCTTTGGGAGAGCTGTCCTTTGAGCCAGGGTTAGTCAGAACTTGTAATAATCCTGTTTGTCCTACAAATCACGTAGTGTCCCTAAGGAACAATCTTATTAGTAGGCGCGTTCCCACAGATCTTCAGATCTGAATAGCGGTTGGCTTTTAGACATTTTATGTATTATCATAGAAGTAACCTAGTGGTGGTGGGGCACAGATAAAATAGTTAAGGGCCGCTCTAAAGACCAGCTGTTAAAGAGAGACAACTGCAAACTTATTTCAGCAATGGAAAAACAGCTGATTTTAGATGGTGAAGAAACACTTCTAAATTCAAAGACATAAAGCTGCCAAATCCGGATTTTTTAATGATGTCCTTTCGAATGTGTGTAACTGATTTTGGGAAAATCGTATGTTCAGAATTGAGGCTAAATTGAGGCTATTCTGGTTTTATCTTTGAAGAGACCACAGCCTTAGGAAATGGCTCTTGATCTATATACTTCCACCTTTTAGTTATGAATCCTTTATCTTTGAACACTGGGTTAATTTTGTTTGCCCCTAGAACACAATCACGTAGTTTCCTTCTGGATTGGATCCTGATGTATCTTGAGTATAATCACATGTTGCTACCTAGTAAATAAAATCTTTAAAAGATCCGTGGCTTTCTTTCACCAGTTGATAGCATCGTGATTCACGGCCCGCATTGGACTCGGCTCTACTCACTGGACATCTAACCTCTCCACTTTATTAACTGTACCCACACTACAGGGGTGTTGTGAGGATTAAAATTTAAAATACCTGTGTTTTCCACAGTGCCTGGCACACAGTAAACACTCAAAAACTATTGCCAGCTCGTTACTGCTTAGAGGCCCGCATCAAGTCAGCCACGACTCAAGGAGACTCTAAAGATAAAAGCTGGGGCCAAAATATACGATTCTAAACACCCTCCTCAGCTATTGCAAAGCTGTGAGCACTTTCTCAGAATGAGAGCCAAGAAGCCTAGCACCTATGGGTCACCACAACTTCCGAGGTCCCAGATGAGAAAGATGCGCTCGCTACCGTGCGGATATCCTTCCTCCTGCAATAGTCCCAAAGCTCCCGGGCCTTGCCTCCGGACGCCAGGCCGATCACCTGGACAAAGCTACAAAAATCTCGCCTTTTGCAAAGAAAACGAAACGCTACGGCGACCGGAAAAGGAAGAGTTGCGCTTCCAATAGCCAGAGGGGCGGGCATACGCAGCCTCCCTTGGCTCAGCCTGCTACGGAGGATGCAGAGCGTCCTGGTAGCCATGAAAACAGGCCACACCCCGGCGATTCCGGCTCGTGGTTCGCAAGTGCGCAGGCGCGCGCCCCTTCCGCGCATGAGCAGTGCTGTTCCCAGCCCGCCAGTCGCGGTCTCCGGCGCCAGCTACGCCGTTGCCGCTGTCACTATGGCCCATTACAAAGTGAGGGGGGCGCGGCGTGGCTGGGGGCATGCGGGCGGTAGGAAGCCGCTGGTCGGCTCCGGGTGGGAGTGGGGTCGCGCGCGCAGGTTTGGGCGCGGGGTGGGCCGGAGGTAGCGAGGCGGAGGCGGGGTTGCCGGACTCCCAGCGCCTTCTTCCTGCTCGGCCCCCAGGCTCTGGCCACTGACCCCCGGTGTCTCCTCAGGCCGCCGACTCGAAGCGTGAGCAGTTCCGGAGGTACTTGGAGAAGTCTGGGGTGCTGGACACACTGACCAAGGGTGAGCCTGGGCTAGGAGAGGATACCTTGTGCCCTCATCGTGCTCCCTGGCATTGCCTCGTTCCCCAGCGGGCCGTAGCGTGGGAAGGAGGGGAAACAGGTGGGAGCCGTGCGGGGTCCAGCGAGGTGGGCCTCGGGGTTCGGCAGGGCCCTGGCTGCTGGACGCCGCCCGGGTGGGGTAGCCTAACTACGCTACCCTTCTCCGCACCGGGAGTGAAACTCTTGCAGCTGTTGCAAAGTCTCTCCAACTTCCGTTGCTTTGCCTCGAGCAGCCGCAGTGGACGTGCTTGCCAAAGACCTTCAGATCCCAATTCCTCCCACCTTACAGTTTTTGTGGAGTCCTCATAATCTTGTTAAGAAACATTTTCCATCCAACAAAGAGCAACTGGAAAAATGACCGAATTTGAAAGTGGGCTATGAAGTAGCTGAGTGAACCTAATCCCCAAAATAGGCGATTCATAGCTAATTTGGCTGTGGCTTTTCAACCCCCATTCCTTAGTCTGTGTCAATTCTTATTTTGTGTATATTTCATAAAGTAGAATTACAGTTTAAAGAGCTCGAGGGCACATCAAAATGATTATATCGTTTTCACTTTTTAAAAATGAAAGCTTACTGTTAACACCATCTCTTCCTTCGTTGCTTCAAGATCTAAGTAAGTAAATGAGTAAAGTGTTGGAAACAGAATTCCAAAGGGTAGGATACAGTTTACTTCATTAGCTTAGCAGTAATTTGAATGCCTGCTGTGTGTCACTCAACTCTGGGATTTTCAAGGGTGTAGAATGGAATTGTTGGCAGGGATGAGGACCTAGGTGAAATGAAACTAGGAAGTTTGGGAAGTGTGGGAAATAAATTGTTAACTGCTCTTTGGACAGAAGCAAAGTTTAGGGGAAAATTCTAGGATCATAACTCCTGAGTCTTAGCAGAAGGCAGGCTTTTAATTTCCATGGGCTAGTAATTTTGAATTGCTACCTATTCCAGGTTCAGATAATAGGTTACCTCTTTGCAAATAAACTTCAACAAATATTAAGGGACTGCTCTGTGAAAGCACTGTGCACTGTTGTCTCTGGAAGTGTCACAGATGCTTTGAATGTCACTCCCTCTAAAAACTCCATAAGTTCATTTCTTTTATTTAATCATTTTACTTAGGCCTTTGTTCTGCCCACTGGAGATACAGCAGGTGAAGATAAAAGTCTCTGCTCTCATAAGCTTGTATCCTAGTTGAGGGAGACAAATACATAAATTGTAGTGTCAGCCAGTGATAAGTGTTACAGATAAAAATATAGCAGAGTTAGGGGGATAAAGAGGAACAGGTGAGGCCAGGCACTGCTCATGCCTGTAATCTCAGCACTTTGGGAGGCTGAGGTGGGTGGATCTCTTGAGCCCAGGAGTTTAAGACCAGCCTAGGCAACATGGCAAAACCCCGTCTCTTTAAAAAAAAAAAAAAAAAAAAAAAAAAAAATTGCTTGACATGGTGCTTGTCTGTAGTCTAGCTACTCTGGAGGCTGAGGTGAGAGAATCACCTGCGCCCAGGAGGTCAAGGCTGCAGTGAGTTGTGATTGTGTCACTGGGCAACAGAGTAAGACCTTGTCTCAAAAAAAAAAAAAAAAAGTGACAGGTGGTGATGTGTGTGTCATTTTTATAGTGTGTGTGGGGGGGCGGGGCTTTCTTTAGTAACTTTTGAGCAAAAACTTGAAAGAAATAATATATGTCAAGAGTTCCAGAACATATAAGTAGGCCAGAGTGGTTGGATGGAGCAAGTGAAAGACTGAATGGTAAAAGGCAGAAAAATGACAGTTTTAGGAGGTAACTGATTACACAGAAGATGTTGCCCAGGGTGAAGTGCAGTGGCATGATCTTGGCTCACTGCAGCCCCCGGGTTCAAGCAATTCTCCTGCCTCAGCCTCCCAGGTAGCTGGGATTACAGGCATGTGTCACTATGCCCAGCTAATTTTTGGTATTTTTAGTAGAAACGGGGTTTCAACATGTGGGCTAGGCTGATCTTGAACTCCTGGCCTTAGGTGATCCACCTGCCTCAGCCTCCCAAAGTGCTGGGATTACAGGTGTGGGCCACCTCACCCGGACTCCACTGGAATTTAACCTCTCAATCTCCTTAGATTTCCAGGCTCCTAAATAAAATCAAACAACACAGTATTGATGTAATTTATTAAAAATTTGACTTTCAGCTTCAAACATAGGTGCTTTACACAGTTCTATTTGTTTTTACTTTTTTTTAAGAGAGTCTCAGTCTGTCACCCAGGAATGCCTGGCCTCAAGTGATCCCTCCTGCCTTGGCCCCTCCAAGTGTTGATATTACAGGCATGACCCACTGTGCCCAGCCTCACAAATTTAATTTACATATATATATATTTTTTGAGACAAGGTCTCTGTTCTCCATACTGGAGTGTTGTGGCACAGTCACAGCTTACTGCAGTCTCAAGCTCCCAGGTTCGAGCAATCCTCCCATCTCAGGGACTAGAGTAGCTGGGACTATAGGTATGAACCACCATGCCTGGCTAATTTTTAATTTTCTTTCTCTTTTTTTTTTGGGTAGAATTTCAGTGTTGCCCAGGTTGATCTCAAACTCCTGGACTCAAGTAGTCCTGCCTTGGCCTCTCAAAGTGCTGGGATTTCAGGCATGAAACACTGTGTCTGGCCCATATTTTTTACAGCTTATTTCTAAGAGGATTTAAAACTTTATAACATAAAACGCTGTGAAGGGATGGCTAAAGATAAAGATGATAAATCATTTGGAAGCTGAAGCATTTTAGCTATTTTGAGCACTGTATCAACCTCTAAAAATCCTGTGTGTGAAGGCAAAAGGGGAGCATGATTGGGTAGAGAGTTCTTATCTACTTGGGGGCCTGAGGTGGGAGGATCTGATTAAAAGGGAGTACACTTCATCTATAGAAAAGCACAGGAAACTTAGCATTTACATTATGTTCTGCAGTTATCAACGTTGTAAGTACCAGTGACAGAAATTAGAAGCCGAAGGAAATGGGGTGGGGGAATAAGAGGAGGAGAGAGTATTAATCATGTCTCATAAAATTAGGATGTGGCTGGGCGAGGTGGCTCTCGCCTGTAATCCCAGCACTTTGGGAGGCTGAGGCACGTGGATCAACTGAGGTCGGAGTTTGAGACCAGCCTGACCAACATGGAGAAACCCTGTCTCTACTAAAAATACAAAATTAGCTGGGCGGGGTTCATGCCTGTAATTCCAGCTACTCGGGAGGCTGAGGCAGGAGTATCACTTGAACCCAGGAGGCAGAGGTTGCAGTGAGCCGAGATTGCGCCATAAACTCCATGCTGGGCAACAAGAGCGAAACTCTGTCTTAAAAAAAAAATAAGAATTTAATAGGGATAAGTGGAAATTAATGGAAGGAGCAGCAGAAGTTTGAGCATGTAATTTAAAGAAAAAGGTAATAAAGAATAAAGAGTTCTGTGAAATATTGAGAGATGAGAGGAGAGGGTAGTGGTGGTATAAATACATGACTTTCTCAAAAAACAGTGCTCTTAAGTGTATTTAGATGAAAGGTAACCATCGGAACTCAAGTGTAAATTGTTAAAAATAGTTATGTGATTTTTTTCATACTGTATATTATTTTGTTATTAAAACTCTGAAAGAACAAAAGGGGGAAGTATGTAAGTTGGTTTATAACAGGACTTGGGGTCTAGATATCTATCAGTATTTTGTGTGTGGTTACTTTTCTTGCTTTTATTAGATTTTTCAAAGGGTTCCATGCACAAAAAGTCTAACCACTGATTAAGAGAGTTTTATCTGGTAAATTCTAGGAGGAATTTGTTCCATAGATGAAGAGCAAGGCAGTGCTCATATGAGCAATTGGATATGAAACCACTTGAGTATATCTTATTTTAATGTTGATTTGAGCATGTTGACTACTGGTAAAGTTTTTGGTTGGTGGTTATTTAGCAAAACAAAC